ATGCGCGCGGCGCTGAGACGAGAACCCCATTTTGGAACTAATCCGCCCTCCATCTTTGAAGCGGTTGCAACTTTCACGCTTAGGATCATACATGGTGGGGATGTCTCAGGCGAAACGCTTGGCTTGCCCTACCGACACGCCTGTGGCTGCGACAGGGACGAAATATCCAGAAGGAAAAGGATGAACGATCATGATGATGATGTTGCTGGTGATGATGCTGCAGATGATGATGCCAATGATGATGCTGCTGCTGCTGATGATGATGATGATGATGATGATGATGATGATGAGGAGGAGGAGGAGGAGGAGGAGGAGGAAGATGAGGAACGGGAGGAGGAAACGGAGGAGCATCGTAGTGTACTGCTGATGCCCTGGGGTAGGCGCGAGTCCTGTGGGGCACATGGGCTCTACCATCCTTGAAGGGGTACTCGTAGAGGTTGGGATGACAAACTTTCTGGTCCCATGGTCTGAACAGGGACCGTTGTTGGCAGCTGGTACTGGTGGATGGTATCAGGGCAGCATGGGGAACCTGCTCTGCAGCAGCCTGGGGCGCCAACTGATTGGGTGACAGGGGGGGACCTGCTCCACCGCAAGGCGCATAGCATCCTAACACGGGCGGGCAGCTTGCAGGCAGGACGGGTCGCCCCCCTAAGGGTGAACGGGGCGGACCCACGACATTGCCGCCAATGTCACCGGTGCAGGGGTAGGGGTGACAGGGAGGAGGGGGAGGAGGAGGAGGAGGAGGAGGAGGAGGAGGAGGAGGAGGAGGAGGAGGATGGATGAGGACGAGGAGGAGGAGGCGGAGGAGGAGGATGAGGAGGAGGAGGAGAAGGGAGGATGAGGAGAAGGGAGGAGGAAGGGGGGGAGGGGGGACGGGAGGAGCCATGCTTAATCTGCCATGAACCTTCCCCCATCCTCCTCCTTCCTCGCCTTCCCTCCTCTCATCAATTCTCGGCAGGCTTGCTCGCCACTGGCCTGCTGTTACAAAACAAATACGACCTCGTCCCACCTCCCTCCTCCTACGGCTCGGCCAGCGGGCTGCTTCTCTTCCAGTCGCCATGCAAACCCGTCGTTTGCGCGCGTGCCCTGGAGATCGTGCACAGGAGGAGGAGGAGGAGGAGAGGAGGAGGAGGAGGAGGAGGAGGAGGAGGAGGAGGAGGAGGGAGGAGAGAGAGGAGGAGGAGGAGGCGCCGCGCGCCGCGGCTGGTCCCAGCCCTTCGCGGCTTCGGGCTTGCGCGGGAGGGGGGGGGGGGGGAGCGACGGGGGGGGGAGGGGAAGAGGGGTGGGAGGGGAAAAGGAGGGGGGAGAGAGGGAGGGAGGGGAAATGGGAGGGAGCGGGAGGAGAGGAGGAGGAGGGGGGGGAGGAGGAGGAGGAGGAGGAGGAGGAGGAGGAGGAGGAGGAGGAGGAGGAGGAGGAGGAGGAGGAGGAGGAGGAGGAGGAGGAGGAGGAGGAGGAGGAGGAGCAGCAGGAGGAGTGTAAACCCAAGACTCAGCAACGAAATTGCAATGAACCCTCCCTCCAAGTTCCCTGCTTCTAGGCCCCTACACGGATTCATCTTCCCTAAGGGAACTACCCCGGTGAGAAACAATCGTTTGAACATCCAGAATTGTGGTATACTGCGATTCTTGGGACACCAATGCCGCGAATCAGCGTTATTGTTTCGTCTTGACGGTCCTGAATCGTGCCAGCACAGAATTTTAGACTGTTTGAAGCGAGGCGCTACTTCTCCCGCACGTCCACCCGAGCCGACGTGGGGGAAGTGTGCGTCGAGTGTTGGCTCGAGCGTGGGGGAGGTGTGCGTCGAGCGTCGAGGGCTGGGAGCCGCAGCGTCTGAGTGGCCGGGGGAAGGTGCCGATCTGGCGGGCGGCGCGGAAGGGCAGAGGCGCCCGGCCCCAACCTCGGAGGCGGCGGCAGGGGCGAGCGGCCCAGGGGCGGGCACGACACGCACGGTCGGACCAAAGTAGAGGGTCGAGGTCGGCTCGGGGAGAGTACCCTCGTGTGTTCTTCGTGCTAGTTTGGTGCTTTTGTCCATGCGCCCTCGCACGTTCTTCAGGTTGGCCAGCGGAGGGTCTCATGCTCTTGCAGGAGGTCCTCTGGTCTGGCCTCATTCGCCCAGGAGCCTCGCCGAAGGCATGGACCATCGACGCCCCTGGTCGGACGGGGCTAGGACGAGGATGGCCTCGCGAACTGGGTGGCGTATTCGCGTGCGTGACTTGTGAAGCCCCTGACAAAGCCGTACTGCTCTTTGTACGGTCGGACGGGGACAACAAAGAGGATAAAACCGTTCCTGAGCGCTCTGGAACGCTCTCAGGGCGTTCTGGAGCGCTCCGAGAGGGCCGCGGCGCCCGAGAACTCCTCCAGCACCGCCAGCCCTCCGAGATTCTCGACCCGTCCTCGCCCGATTCCGTCCTCGCCCTGGCCCTGGACGCGCGTGTCGCTCTCCCCTGGGCTGCTCGCCCCCGCCCCGCGCTCCTCCGCGAGCGCCGGCTCGACGCCCTCCCGCGCCGTCGCGGTCGCGGCCTGCCCCTCCGCCGCCCTCCTCGCCCCCCTCTCCGCGCCCGCCCTGGCCTCCCGCCCTCCCCCCCTCCCCGGGGGCCCGAGGAGCGCGCCGAGGTGCGGGAGGCGTTCCTCGAGATGGACAAGGACAAGGATCGGCCACGCGCGGGGGGGGTGGGCGGGGGAGGGGGGAGGGGGGGCAGGCGTCTCAGAGGGAGGCCGCCTCTCATCGCTCGGACGTGTGCACTTTTCCTTCGGCGAGGACCATCGAGGAGCATCCTGGGCCATCGAGCAAAAACAGCACGCACGGAACCGAACAATGCACGGGACATGGACGTCCGAGCGACGGCAAGCAGAATGGCGCCGGCCCTGCACCTGCAGGGGCGGGCCGCGCCCTCTGGGAGGCAGCCTCTTGCTAAGAGGCCTGCCCCCCCTCTGCGCGCCACCAAAAGGAGAGAGGATGGGGGGAGCAGGGGAGCTCGTACCTGCTGTATTCGGCCTCTTCTAAAGGCAGTGGTTTTTAGAGAGCAGCGCATGCGAGTGGCCTTCATCCGATGCTTCGGCGCAGTGCCCCCGTGGCCGAAGAGCTCCTGGAGGGCGAGAGCTACCGGCGCTTGGCACGCTAACAGGCATGAGCATCCGTGCAGGCTTGATTGTGCTTTCGATCGGGATAAGGTGGAAGGATGCTTGGTGCTGGGGACCGACGGTCACGAAAACTGGTTCGCGCAGGCGGCGTTCCCATGGACGGACGTTCGAGAGACCGATGAAGGGGTGGCAGTGGTGGAGAGAGGGGTGCGCGGCGGCAGCGACGACCACAGTACGACAAGGAAGAACAAGGCCACAACGATCACCTCTTCCAAACCCCCTCCTCGCGGCTTCGCCGCTCTTGACGGACGGACGGCAACATGTAGCCCAACAGGGTTAGAGGGAGATCTTCGCCAGGCCAGCGATCCCTACGGTTTTGAGGACGGCTGATGCAAGACAGTCGACGTGACCGTGCGCCTCCTCGCCGAGGTTCCCAACGGGTGTCCAGGTGCGAGAAGCGGCGGCTCGTGCTGCCGCCGCGTCCGGCAGCCGAACAGTTTGCCACCGGTTTAGCCCTCAAGGAATCGCCATTGGTTAGCCATTGGTTTCGCCCTCAAGCCATTGGTTTCGCCCTCATTGGTTTCGCCCGGAACAGTTAGCCATTGGTTTCCGTTCGCACCCCCGTCACCCTCATATCATATGCTTGGACAGACTCGTGTCACGCGTTGGCTTGCCAGCTAGGCACCAGACTGGTTACGCTTGACGAGGCTCGGCTGCCACGCAGTCCGTTGATTTCGCAGCGCTTTTTCGAGTGCTTCGAGATCGTTCGATATCGGGTGCGTGAGCCGCTGCTCTCTTGATTTCCGTCTTCTAGTCTTCCCGCTCACGTCTTGGGAGTGGATCGGCGGTGCCTCCATGTCGTGGGCGTGCAAATCTTCCTACCGGCGTCTGCCACTGTGCAGTCTGCTTCCCCCTACAAGCGTCGCTTCGCCATGAGATTCGTGCCGCATATTTTGCGACCAGATCTGAGCTGACCACTGTCTAGCCTACGAATTAACTTGACTATACTTCGCAACTCTCCCTATGTGCCGTGCGCCTCATCGGGCGCATTATTCTGTCTGCTCCCGACAGGCCATATAGAAAGGATCCCAAGGCGAGTCGCCTTGGTCAGGGAAGTGTGGCAGCACGCGGCCCTGGGTCATGAGTGAATCATTCATGCCTTCGCGGACCGGTCGAGGGATCTCGAGGAGAATGAGGAGGAGAAGGAGGAGGAGGAGAAAGAAGGAAATGGAAGAGGAGGCAGGAGGAGGAGGAGAAGGACGACTTGGATGAGGAGGAGGAACAAGAGGAGGGTGAGGAGGAGGAGGAGGAGGAGGAGGAGGAGGAGGAGGAGGGGGAGGAGGAGGAGGAGGGGGAGGAGGAGGAGGAGGAGGAGGGAGGAGGAGGACGAGGAGGAGGAGGAGGAGTCAGAGGCGGATGATTAGCAGGGCGAGCAGAAGCAGAAGGACTTGTAATGAACACGTTCCCACATAGCCTCAGGTGGACCTCAGGTGGGAGGATGGCGAGGAGGAGGGGGGGGAGAGAATGGGGAGGATTAGGAACATATGGAGGACATCTAATGAGGAGGACCAGAGTAGTTCCGAGATGCACTGTCGAATCTGTAAACGCCCTCCCGTTCCCGGCATCCCTCATATGCCCCTGTAGGCATTTCTCTTCACCGCGGGAAGCACGCTCTTGAAGGACGAGCGGCCCACGGGCCCGTCACTCCTGCGAGATCTCTCCGCTCTGAGCAGGAGCCGCACTGCGTTTTTTCCAGCGAGCAGTGCGGAACGCAATAATGTATGACCATACAGTATAGCGGCGTGGCCAGTGAGCTTCCTGCCTTGAAACAACGAGACCGCACAACCTGAGCAGCCGTCGCACACGCTTACGCGTCTGGCCGTGAACGTCGAGGGCATCCGAAGTGGGAGCACGAGGCTGAAACGGAACAACAAGCCATTTGTGCAGCTTTTGCAGGTGCTCAAGTTTCTGGTCTCGTAACGTGATGACGTCACAAGCGACCACCCCATTTTTGAGGAGGATCCATCCTCCATCCCCGTAGCTGCTCGAGGCGCTGACGACGAATGTGCGCAGCGTTTCGGCGAGAGCCCCAGTGTGAAAAGGAACCGCCCTCCATCCTCGCAAGCGTTGCAGGCTTGTAGAGCGAGTGTGCGCGGCGCCGAGGCGAGAGCTCGATTTGGAGAATCGGCGCCTTCCATTCTTGTGCAGGTCGCAAGCTTTTGGGGCGAATGTGCGCGGTGCTGAGACGAAACCTCCATTCTGAAAGCCACCTCTCAGAAGAAGCTGCGGGACGCATCGGCGAGCGCCCCACCTTAACCTCCCCCGCCCGCGGAACAAGTGCAACCAACGCTCCAGCGTCAGGATGAGATCTGGTGGGGAAATCTCAGGCGAAAAGCCTGGCCAGCCCTTCCGGCACGTCTGGGATGGGCACAGGGGGGAGTTTTTTAGAAGGAAAAAGAAGAGGGGGAGGAGGAGGGGGAGGCGGAGGAGTTTGAGGAGTTTGAGGAGGAGAAGGAGGAGGATATGGAGGAGGAGGAGGAGGAGGAGGAGGACCGGTGTCAACTCAAGAGCCGTTAACGATGTTGGAATAAACCCTTTCTCCACGCTCTCTCTTCATTTTCCCCTACAACTGTTCATGTCCACTGGAACTGCCTCGTTGGAAGACAACCGTCTAAAGACCCTGAAGCATGCCAAAACATTATAATTGGGGCTCCAGCGCCGCGGATCAATCTGACTGTTGCTTCTTGAAGGTCCTAAATCATGCCAGAATTCCATTCTTGGGACTTCAACACCACGAAGCAAGGTAACTGCTGCACCCTCATAATCCTAAATATTTCCATAAAGCCATTTCTGGTTCGTTGCTTAGGGGAACCCGTGACACTCTTGCCAATGCTCAAAACGAGTGTGCGCGGCGCTCAGGCGAGAGCCACATTTTGAAAACGGGCCGCCCGCAATTCGCGAAACTCTTGCCAATGTTTAAAACGAGTGTGCGCGGCGCTAAGACGAGAGCTTCATTTTGAAAACGGGCCGCCCGCAATTCGTCTCACCCTTGCAAATGTTTAAAGCGAATGTGCGCGGCGCTAAGACGAGAGCCACATTTTGAAAGCGGCCCGCCCTCCGTCTGTGAAACTGTTGCCAATGTTTAGCTATGGGTCATGAATGGTGGGAAAATCTCAGGCGAAATGCCCGGCCCGCCCTGACGACTGGCCTCGGAGTGCGACAGGGATGTTTCTTTTTCATAAGGAGAAGGAATGGAGGAGGAGGAGGAGGAGGAGGAGGAGGAGGAGGAGGAGGAGGAGGAGGAGGAGGAGGAGGAGGAGGGAGGAGGAGGAGGAGGAGGAGGAGGAGGAGGAGGAGGAGGAGGAGGGAGGAGGAGGAGGAGGAGGAGGAGGAGGAGGAGGAGGAGGAGGAGGAGGAGGAGGAGGAGGAGGAGGAGGAGGAGGAGGAGGAGGAGAGGAGGATGAGGAGGATGAGGAGGAGAATGAGGAGGAGGATGATGAGGAGGAGGAGGAGGAGGAGGATGACCAAGCATACAGGCCTTCGCGAACCTTTCGTTCTGCAAGCCTCTTGGAGGCATAGTGGAGCCACCTTGGGCCCCTTTTGGGGCCACTTTGAGAGCCGTCGGGTCCTTCTAGGGGCTCTCTTGGGCCCCTCTTGGCGAGACTCGGGGCCTCCTTTGGGGCTGTGTTGGAAGGGTTTGTAGTCGGTTTTTTGACTGTCTGCCACAAGTCGGTTTCTTGACTGTCTGCCACAAGTCCCGCCACCGTGTCAGCCCAGCACTCTGGGTGGAGACTGTTCGAGGAGTGCGCACGAAGCCGTAACAGGCCGTAACGTTTGACACTTCGTCTCCCGAGTCTTGGTGACGGCTCTTCCGCGTCGTGTCAGGGTGTCTCTCCTCGTGTTCGTCGCCCTGTCCATCCCTTCTTTCCCCCCCTCCTCTCTTGGCTTGGGGACTCTTGACCAAGACGAATCTTCATTTTTGCCACGCCCCTCTCTCCCTGGTTGGCCAGGGCCGGCCACCGCGCCAGATTGCCAGCCACGTCCAGTCCACAGGGCACGGGGGGATTACGACGGAATGCGAAGAAGGGGGTTGGAAGAACGAACTCCTCAGACCACCAGAGCACTGAGGGCTGATGGGATCAGGGGGCTAACAGGCATCGGCCTCCTCGACGTTCTCGCGCCCCTCGGCTGCCGCTGTTCCCCTCCGCGTAGACTGGCACCATCAAGCTGTGGGAGTTGAAGCAGGTGCCCTGCAACACTTAGCGAGGAGCCAGGGAGTGACAGAACGAGGAAGGGAAGGACCGCTCTCAGCCCTTCCCCTCTTCCTGCCTCCCCCTTCCTCCCTCCTCCCTCCCCCTTCCCCCCCTCCTCCCTCACGCCCCCCTCTTTTCTCACTCATCCCCCCCATCCCTCCCCCCTGCCCCCTCCTCCATCCGCTGTCCTTCGCTCTTCCCCCGCCCCCCCTCCTCCCTTTTGCGCCCCCTTCTCGAGGTAGGAGTGGGGCGTGGAGGGAATGAGGGAAGGCGCAAAGGCCCGACTCGGGCCTGGAGCGGCAGAGAGGAGGACTTCGGACGGCACAGGGAAAACGATGGGGTGTTTCGCGAATCGGAGGAGGAGGAGGAGGAGGAGGAGGAGGAGGAGGAGGAGGAGGACTTAGGACGGCCTGGAGACGAGAGGGGTGTTTCGCGCACGCCCGGATGGGCCACAGCAGAGTAGCGTCGGGAGCGTTTGCTTCGCGTGTCGCCGCGGCGGCCGCGGCGACACGCTATGCTCCGGCAGCGGATAGCGCGTCGCTCCGCCCCTGCGGGGCGGAAGACTGGGGACAGGTCGGCACGTGGACGCCCGGGCCACAGCAGCGTGGACAGCGTATCGCGCCGAGGCGTGGTGGGCCAGAACCCGTGGAGCGACAGGCGAAGCAAGAGTTCGTGCGACTTCGGTGCATCAGTGCCACGGCGGTGGCTGCTGTATACGAGTCTGTCTGTTGCAACTCCTGCCAACAGTTCGTTCGGTTCTTGCGACCCGGAACGAGGTAAACAAGGATTCGCGCGATCCGTAAATCTCTCGACGCTCGTGACACACGTACTGCGTTACCTCACGTACACGAGCTCGAAGGGCACAACAAACGTACGTCAGACTTTGATGCTTCAGTGTGACGTGTCTGCCGCATGCTGCCGTGCCACACCATTACCACATGCTGTGCTGTGCTGTGTGCTGTGCTACAGTCGGGACCTGTTTCTTATCGTGTCGCGCCGCCAAGTTCTGGCCCACCTCATTTTCGCACGACGCGCTGCCCACGTCCCCGTCCCCAGGCGTGGGCGTCCCGAGCTCTTCCCAGCCCCGCGCCACGCGGAGCGGAGCGACACGCAGGCAGTTTGCAGGGAATCGCTGGGGCCGCCGCCGTGACTCGCGAAGGAAGCATTCCCGACCGTATTCAGTGCTGCGCTGTGCCGTGTGCTGGTTTACGCTGCGCCCAGCGATCCCTGCGTTGTCCTGGCATGTCATCACGGTGCTCGTCGTCGCCATCACCGACGATCCATGTGCGGATAGGTGAGGGCACGATAGGGCGCACAAGTAAGGATTGCACCCACGTTGTTGCCCTTTTATCTGCACACTCCTCCCCAACGTAGGCACATCAGAGCAGAATTCGGCCTCTTGGGCCGTCTTGGAAGCTTGTTGGGGGCCTCTTGGGCTGTCATGGGCTCCTGGCCCCTCTGACGCCGTCGGAAGCTGTCTTGGGGGGGGGGCCTCTCTGGGCCGACTGGGGGCCCTCTTGGGGTGCTCCAGGGCCGCGTCTTGGAGGCCTCATGGGCCGTCTTGGGGCCTTCCTGGGGCAGTCTTGGGGGCTTCTTGGGCGATCTTGCGGCGATCTTTGGGGGCTCTGGGGCCGTCTCGGGCCGTCGGAAGGCCGAAAAAAGCAAATGCCCCAATCCTTCATCAACTAAGAGAAAACCAATGATTTTGGCCTCTTCGGGCCTTCCTGACGACCCTCTTGGAGGCCTCTTGGGCCGTCTTGGCGGCCTCTTCGGAGCCTCTAGGGCTGCCTTGGGCCATTTTGAGGCTATCTTAGACCGCCTGGGAGGCCATCTTTGGCCGTCTTGGAGGCATCTTGGGGCCATCTTGGCCGTCTTGGAGGGCATCTTGGCCGTCTTGGAGGCATCTTGGAGGCCATCTTGGGCCATCGTGGCCGTCTTGGGAGATTTTTGTTCGGCAAATTCTGCGCCTTCCGGTCCCTTCCGGGTGGCCGGCGGGCTGGGCCGCAGCCCCAGGGGAGAGTTCTTTGGGAAAAAGAGCCAAAACCCAAACCGAAAGGATCCAGCACGCCGGGCACCCCTGTGGCAATGGCAAGCCAACAGGGGGCGGCGGATCTAGTGGCCTTCGGCCCATCCCGCCAGCGTGCCTGGGTGGGTGGGGGGCGGGCACTCGTTGATCCGAAAAAATCATGCGAGAAGACGCGCCAAGCCCAAAGAGATTTCAGAGCGAGGGGTTCGGGCCCCTTAAAGACTCCTCAGGAATGAGGATTGAGGCTTAGAAGCTAGGGCTCATGACGCGAGGACACGCCCACTCCGTGCCCAGCGGCACGGTGGCGGTTCATTGCTTGTCTCTTTTGCTCGGAAATTGTGGAAACGATGTTTTGAGCAACTCCTTTGAGTGTTTAGCCAGTGCCGAATCGAAGACACGAGGATAAAGTCATCCCGTGTGGATTTAGTGAAGGGGGTAACCGCACGCTGGCCATTCGAGTCATACGCGTAGTATGATGTAGGAGTTTTGGTTAATCTCGAAAGTGATAGTCTAACTCAGCATACATGGGTCTGATCATATAGTCACAATCCTTAACGTAACCCCAGACAGTAGATTGTTACAATCTCGATGTGTAATTCTAGTTGCTGACCAGCCACAGCGCACCGACCAGGGGGCCTCAACCATAGGTCAGCAACCATGGTGCGCAATAGAGCTCCAGACATAGGGCACCAGCAACGGGCCACCAACCATGGGCTTCAGCCAGAGCGCATCAACCATAGGACGCCATAGGCCATCAATTGGTAGGAAACTGGCGCATATGGCAGTCCAGGGCACCAACCATCGGGCACCAACCACTGGGTGCCAACCATAGGGCGCCAAACATACGGCACCAGAGCATTCCGGGCACCTGCGCGCGACCTGCCGACTGCGACAAACAGATAATCACACTATGGCGCCAGTTAGCCAAGCACTTGCGCAGCAGGTGCCGGCGCGAGAACGGCCCACTGCGGCAGTCGGGTCGGGCGAAAGGGGGGGATTGGGAAAGGGGGGGTTACGAAATTTGCTGCATGCAGCTGGTTTCGGCCTCACCGAGGGGCCCATTCCTCGATACATGGGCGCCTCCCGGCGCCGGGAGGCGCCGGGAAAATCAGCTACGTGAGCTGATTCTCAAACCCCCCCTTTGCTATCCCCCCCTTTCGCCCGACCCGAGGCAGACAGGACACCACGGGGCACCAGCCCCAGGGCACCTGCCCGTCGTGCACCAGCGCTCGCACGACCGACTGCGCCAGACAGGGCACCACCAGGCACCAGCCAACAGGAGAACCGGCGGGCGAACGGTCGACTGCGGGAGGCAGGTCTTGCTCGTTGCAGAGCCAGCGAGGCTCCTCGAAGCGCAATCACTGCCGGGATGATGTCAGCGAGGGCAGCCACGGCCCCAAACCGTGGGCAAAGCAGCACTGGCGATGTCGCGTAAAGTGCATCATCGGGCCTGTCTCTTCGTCCATGCGTCCCAAGGCCAATCGGGCTCAGGAAGGCCTCGGCGCCTCGTCGGCTAAGAGCGCTCGCCTCAGTTCCTTTCGAAGGCCTCCCACCTCCCAGACCTCTGGAGGTCCGATCATTGGAGTCGTTGGCCTCTGGAGCGCTCGACCCTTCCTCGAGGCCGCCTTTTCGTCTCGAGCCGTTCTGCACAGATGTGGCCTCCAGGCGCCGCGGGGGTTGGAACAAAGCTCCAGAGCGGTCTTTTCCGGCTCGCCCGGAGTCTGGCAGGCCTCAGCTTCGGTGGAGGATCCTGCGGCAGAGCATATGCTGCGGTACTTGGTGCTGCAGGGCATGAAGTGCAGCGTTTTGTTTGGCCTGGCAGATAGTTCGTTGCCTTGAGCACTGCCATCCCTTTCGGGGACCTCTCCCACGGGAGCCCGCCCGCAGGCCGAACCGAACCGAACCGAGCCAGGTCCCCCCCAGCCTCTGGCCTCCTGGTACAGTCAAGACGCTGAAGCACGGAGCAGTTCGGGTTCGGAGGGGGCTCGCTGTACCTTGGTCCTTCCATGGCTGCTCCTCGAGCGCTCCTCGTGCACGCAGATGCTTTGGGGGGACATGGGAGGCCCTCTTGGATTCCTCTTGGGCCTTCTTGGAGGCCTCTTGGGGGCCTCTTGGGCTGTCTTGCGCCATTTTGGGCCGTCTTGGAGGGCTTCTGGCCCGTCTGAAGTTGTCGGAAGCTGTCTTGGGGGGGGCCTCTCTGGGCCGACTGGTGGCCCTCTTGGGGTGCTCCAGGGCCGTCTTGGAGGCAATCTTGGGTGTCTTGGAGGCCTCTTGGGCCGTCTTGGGGTCCTCCTGGGGCAGTCTTGGGGGCCTCTTGGGCCGTTCTGGGGCCATCTTGGTGGTCTCTGGGGCGATCTTGTGGCGATCTTTGGGGTCTCTTGGGCCGTCTCGGGCCGTCGGAAGGCCGAAAAGAAGCAAATGCCAAAATCCTTCAAGAACCCAGGGAAAAAAAACAGGATTTTGGCCTCTTCGGGCCTTCCTGAAGGCCTTGGAGGCCTCATGGGCCGTCTTGGAGGCCTCTTGGGAGCCTCTTGGGCCATCTTGGAGGCCTCTTGGGCCGTCTTGGAGGCTCCTCGTGCACGCAGATGTTTTTTGGGGAAACAGAAGGGCGTGGTAGTAGCCTGATGGTAGCCTTCAGTGGCTTGCGCGCATACGGTTTCTCCCGCCGTTCTCGCCCTCCCCGGTCCCCTGAGGTGCTCCTGGAGAGGTTCTCGATGCCAGAGGACGAGTCGACAAAAGTGTTCAAGGCAAATCCGCGGCGGCATTCAAGAGGTTAAGGGTTGGGTTGAAGAGGGGGTGGGGAGGGGGTGGAGGCATGATGATGATGATAATGATGATGATGATGATGATGATGATGATGATGATGATGCTGATTCTGATGATGGGGATGATGATGATGCTGCTGGTGGTGGTGACGATGATGGTGGTGGTGAGGATGATGATGATGCTGGTGATGGTGATGATGATGATGGTGATAGTGGTGCCGACGAAGGTGATGATGCTGATGATGGTGATGATGGTGATGATGATGGCGGTGGTGGTGATGATTATGCTGATGATGGTGATGATGATGGTGGTGAGGATGAAGGATTTGGCGATCATGATGTTGATAATGGTGATGATGGTGATGACAATGGTGGTGATGATACTGATGCTCATGATGATGGTGATGATGACGGTGATGGTGATGATGATGAAGCTGGTGATACTGATGATGATGTTGTTTACGATGATGATGGTGATGATCATGTTGATGACGACAGTGATTATGGTGAAGATGATGAGGATGAGCATGATGACGGTGGTCATGATGACGACGCTGATGGCGGTGGTGATAATAATGATGATGATGGCGATGGTGATAGCGATAATGATGATGATGATGATGATGATGATGATGATGATGGTGATGACAATTAGAAGGTGGAGGTGGTGATGATGGTGGATGATGATTATGATGATTCTGATGATGGTGGTGATGATTGCGGTCGTGGTGATGATGGTGATGACAATTTGGAGGTGGAGATGGTGATGATGGTGGGCGATGGTGATGATTATGATGATGGTCATGATAATGATGGCGGTGGTGGTGATGATGCTGATGGCGATGACGGTGATGATCATAATAATGATGATGGTGATGATGATGATGCTGGTGGTGATGATGCTGGTGCTGATGGTGATGGTGGTGATGATGCCGATGCTCATGATGATGGTAATGCTAATGCTGATGATGGTCATGTTGACGATGACGATAATAGTTATGCAACTGACGAGGCTGTCGGTGATGATCATGACGATGATGTTCATGGTGATGCTGATGCTGGTGGTGCCGATGATGATACTGCTGATAGTGAGGATGAGGATCATGATGATGTTGTTGATGATGATGGTGATGATGGTCATGGTGATTGTGATGATTGCTGGTGGTGGTGATGCTGATGTTGGTGCTGATTGTCATCACGGTGGAGTTGATGATGCTACTGATGGCTAGGGTTATCGTGATGATGATATTGAGGATTATGGTGATGCTGATGACCAGACTGAAGGTAATGATGGTGAGGATGATGGCGATAAAGCATATGGTGATGATCACGCTGATGGTGACGAAGATGATATTTGTGATGATGACGATGATAATGACGATGCTGATGATGGTGGTGATGCAGGTTGTGATGATGACGATGCTGATGGTGATGATGATGCGGTGATGATGTTGGTGGTGATGATGCTGGTGATGATGGTTATGTTTATGATGATGCTGATTAGTATGATGATGCTGATGACGGTGATGCCGATTTTGATTACGATGGTGAGGTTGATGCTGTTGTTGCTGATGATGTTACCGACGGTTATGCTGTTTCTGTTGTTGGTGATGCTGATGCTGATGCTGATGATGATGATGATGATGATGATGATTATGATGATGATGATGATGATGATGATGATGATGATGATGATGATGATGATGATGATGATGATGATGATGATGATGATGATGATGATGATGATGATGATGATGATGATGAGGATGAGGATGAGGATGATGATGATGATGATGATGATGATGATGATGATGATGATGATGATGATGATGATGATGATGATGATGATGATGATGATGATGATGATAAGAAGATGGAGCATGATGAGGAGGGGGAGGAGGTGGAGGAGGAGGAGGAGGCGGAGGAGGAGGAGAAGGAGGAGGTGCAGGATTTTGAGCCCCCTCCCTCCGGCACGAGTGGGTTTCGCCTGGGTCGGTTTCGCCTGCGGTCGGTTTCGCTTCGGTCGGTTTCGCCGCGGTCGGGTTCCCCCGTCGGGCCGATGTCACTGGAGGTCGGTCTTGCCCGCGGTTGTTTTCACCCAGGTCAGTTTCGCCCGCGTCGGTTTCGCGGGCGGACACTGACAGGCAGGTCGGGCGGACGTGACCCTAACAGGCGGGTCAGGCGGCCAGGCCCTCATGGGCGGGTCAGGCGGGCGGGATTGGGTGGGCGGGACACTGACGGCTCGCAGCGAGCGAGCCCACGATACCATAGCGCGCCGAAGTTCCAGCCCCCGCCGTCGCTCGAGCACAGCGGCAGGCCCTACATTAAGGGACTGGTCGGGCGGGCGGACCCTGTGCGGCCGGTTGTGCGGGACCCTGATGGGCGAAGACGGCCGCGGGTGAAACCAAGCAGGGTGAAACAGACCTGGGCGGAACCGACCGGGGCAAAACGGACCTGGCCAAACTGATCGGGCGAAACGGACCAGGCGAAGCGGACCAGGGCGAAACCGACCTGGGCACGACAGGCCGCGGGCTCTCCGAGTCGGCCTTCCTCCGAGGTGCCCCGGGTGGGACTGGGTCGCTGCCCTTCCCTGCAGCCTCGCCATGCTGAGTTTCGGGAGCGCTGGGAGAGCCGATTCTCTCCCTGCAGCTGCTGCTCGCGGCGAGAGGCCCTGAAGTAACGGCCAGGTTCGCGTCGGTCGGAGCTTCCCTGGCTCCAGCCGTGGCTGGACAACGCGAACGTGAGATCATGAAGCAATATGAACGAGGGAACCGTCTCATCACGTGGGTGCGCTCAATCCGGGCCACTGCAGGAGTGGAGTGGCGAACGAGTGTTTCCATAGGCTGGGACCCTGGGGAGAAGACAATCCGGTGCGTGGTTGTCGTCCAGCATCGCGGTTGAGACACACCCGTTTCGTTGCGTGCACATCGCTCTCGCTTCGCTGAGGCAAGAGGCAACTCCTCTTGCAGACCCCTTTCTGAGCAACTTCCGCGCCCCGATCCTACCATCCATGCCTCGCCCTTCTCCTGCCAAAGTTGGCCCTTTGAGGGTCAGGGGGCCTCCCTCGGGGCTGGAATCGTCCTCTCGCCGTGAGCCCCCGTCCGTGCGCCCGCAGGCTCTCAGCAGCACCACCAACGACGAAGAGATCCATTACTCCGACTTCCTCGCCGCGATGGTATCTCTGCTCGTTCCTCCTGTCTTTCTCGCGTTTACTTGTGCCAGAAATTCTTCACTCTTCGCGTATCCCCACCAGATCGCTCTGTGCCCCAGAACGTTAGCCCCGCTCGCTGGATCTGTCCTTCGAGCCGCAGAACAAAAAAAGTATCCCCACCAGACGGTTGGAGCCTGGCGCCCCATTGGCGACTCGCTTCTTGGGCTTCGTGCCTGCCCCCATTCAGAATGACGGACACGGTTGCTCAGGTACTCGTCATGTCTCTGTGTGGGTCGTGCCTCACGGCAGGCATCGAATTCCTCGACATTTTGTCCTGCACGTGCCCGAGCTTCCCAGGATGCCCCCCGCCGTCAGCTCCCCCACAGCCTCGCGGCTGCTTTGTGAGTGGGCCGGCCGGCTCGCGGTGCCTCTTGTAGCTAATTAGGCTTGCCCGTTGGCCCGGACACCCTGCTCGCCGCCTGCCTCTTCGCTCGCGGCCGCGACCGAAAAAGTATCCCTACCAGTCGCAGTCAGCCGCTGCTGGATGAGTGGGCCGGCCGGCTCGCGGCGCGTTTAGCTGCTAATTAGGCCGCTGTCGTGACCCGTATCGCTTCTGACTCCGCTAGCGCCTTCGCTAGCGGACGCGACCGAAAAAGTATCCCCACCAGTTAGTCTGTAGCGCGCCCCGCTTCGACTTGACACGCCGCCGGCGCTTCCGCCCGCGGCCGTAGACAAAAAAATACCCCCACCAGCGACTCGCCGCTGGCGCTTTCGCCTGCGGATGCGACAAAAAGTATCACCACCAGCCTGGCATCGCTCCCGCGCCATTTTGGCTGCGCCCCAACCTTGGTTGGCTAATTATGCATGCGCTCGCTCCTGGACCTGTTTCCTGGCAGCTGCAGCCCGCACAATTTCTCGCTTCCGGTCCGCTCTGGTGCCGCTTAGGCCTTCGGTTAGGCAGCTAGGTTCGCGCGTAGCCCGCCCGTCCCGTTGACGCCGCTTGCGCCTTCGCTTGCGGCTGCGACAAAAAACGTATCCCCACCAGCGCGGCAATCTCCTGACGGCGCGCGGCTCTTCCGCTTGCGCTCGCGAACAAACAAGTATCCCCACCAGCCCATTCAGAAGCCGCGCCCACGAGAGCTGACGGGAAAAGGGACGAAAGGACACATCTAGGGAAACAAAGCTAGCAATCAGGATGAACCGAGAGATCTTTGGGAGCAAGGGGGGTGGCCTTGGAAGGCCTCTTCGGGCCATCCCTGAGGGCCGCGTGGGGGCGAGGGGAAGAGGAGGAAGAGGAGGAAGAGGAGGAGGAGGAGGAGGAGGAGGAGGAGGAGGAGGAGGAGGAGGAGGATGAGGCACTCTTGGGGCCTCCCGGGAGCTTCTTGGGGGCCTCTCGGGGAGTTTTTGGGGGCCTTTGAGGACTTCTTGGGGGCTGCTTTGGCCGTCTTAGGGCGTTCCTGGCTTGTCTGACGCCGTCTGAATCCGTCTTGGGGGCCTGTCTGGGTCGTCTTGGGGCCCTCTTGGGGTATATCAGGGGTTCTTATAGGCCATCTTGTGCATCTTGAAGGCCTCTTGGGCCGTTGTGGGGCCCTCTTGGGGCCGTCTTGGGGGCCTCTTGGGCCGCCATGGGGCCATGTTGGAGGCATCTTGGGCGATCTGGGGGCCTCTTGCGCTGTCTTGAGCCGTCGGAATGCTGAGAAGAAGCAAATGCTTCAAACACCTTAGGCAACTCAATGATTGTGGCCTCTTCGTGCCCTCCTGGGGGACCTCCTGGACGCCTCTTGGCCTGTCTTCGAGGCCTCTTGGGGGCTCCTTGGGTCGTCTTAGGCCATCTGGAGGCCATCTCAGGCCGTCTTGGGTGCATCTTGGGCCGTCTTGGAGGCATCTTGAGGCCACCTTAGCCGTCTTGGAGGCTATCTTGGGCGTCTTGGAGGCCTCTTGGGCCCTCTTGGGGCCGTCTTGGGGGCCTCTCGGGCCGTCATGGGGCCATCTTGGAGGCCTCGTGGGCGATCTTGGGGGCCTCTTGGGCCGTCTTGAGCCGTCGGAATGTTGAAAAGAAGCGAATGTCAAAGTCTTTCAAAAACCTAAGGGGCATCAATGATGTTGGCCTCTTCGGGCCCTCCTGGAGGACCTCTTGGAGGCCTCTTGGGCAGTCTTGGAGGCCTCTTGGGGGCTTCTTGGACCGTCTTAGGCCACCTGGAGGCCATCTCAGGCCGTCTTGGGTGGATCTTGGGCCGTCTTGGAGGCATCTTGGGGCCATCTTAGCCGTCTTGGAGGCCATCTTGGGCGTCTTGGAGGCCTCTGGGACCATCTTGGGGCCCTCTTGGGAGCCCTGGAAGGCCTCTTGGGGCCATCTTGAAGGCCATCGATCAAAGGAGGATATGGTATAACGTTCACACACCCCCAAAGAGGCCAAGATGGGTGCCAAAACCTGAGTAAAACCAATGATTTTGGCACCCAGTGGGTTGGTGGGATAGCGTTCAGCCCCCCCCAAAGATGCCAAGATGGGGCCAACATCTTAGTAAAGCCAATGATTTTTGCGCCCAGAGGGCTGGTGGGATATTTTTCAGGGGCCAAAGCTTTTTTTAAACCAATGATTTTGGCTTCCTCGCCGAGGCCGTTTTGGACGCCCTGACACCTCGCGGGGGGGCCCGAAAAAGTCCAGGGGAGAGGTAAGGAGAGGGGTAAACCCCTCCCCGTAGGGTAAGAGGGTTTTTGTTGAAGAGGGAAGAGGAATCTCGTTAGACCACCTGTCGCCCAAAGGGCTGGTGGGACTTGGCCACGCTGGTACTCGAGCTCTCACCACAAGCGCATAGGATGTTCTGCATCGAAGGCTACAGCAGGCGACCTCGAGGGGAAGATGTGATCGGGATGGAGGGCTCCCCCTTGCACAGGCGACGTTAGCAGAGGGTCGCAGGCGGTCGTGACCCCAGGGGCCGTGGCTCTATTCCCCAGACGGCCGCCGATATTGTAGACTTTGGGGCTGTGCAGGGGGCTCGCTTCCCCTTGGGGCTCTGCGCTGGTCTCTGGGATGAAGTCGTGCCTGTCCCTCTACAGGAGGAATATTTGGTGCATTGTTGATTTTTGAGCATTTTCCTGGGGTGTGTTATGCTTCGTCGAAGAATCTGCCGGTGGGGGGACATGCCCGACTCAACTCTGGGAGGGGAGGGCAGGGCAGTGCTGCTGCTGGTCTGCTCCGCGTGCCTGCCTGCCAGACCCACCCGCAGGTCGCGGGGCGCCTCCGGCTCCACGAGGAGCTGCTGGACGATGTCTTCCGACGTTTCGACACGGACGCCCCTCCTGCTCTCTCCTCCGACAGACAAAGCCACACAAACATACACTTTTGGCGCTCCGCGCGATTTCTTGGATCCGCGCCTGGGCCCCCCGGCGGCGCCTCCGGCGCCGCCCCTGGCGCGTCGCGCGCCGGGGAGGGGGATCCAGCGCGGATCCAGGAAAGCCGCGCGGAGCGTCAACAGTTTATGCTTGTGCGGTTTTGCTCTTCTTCTATTCCTGCGCGCCATCGCTCTCACCTCGGTGTGCCATTGTTTCAGTTCTGATGCCCCACCCTTTGCGGCGCTTCCTCTTCTGCGGCGTCGGAGGTGGCGCCTGTGGAGTTCGCTCGGGTGTGTGTGGGCCCGCCTCTGGCACGACGGTCTTGCCTGGCAATGCCGCTCGCAAGAAGAGGCCCCCAAGCCCCAAGAGACCCCAAGAGGGACCGCAGAGGCGCAACTCAGTGAATTGGCGGCGAGCGAGGGGGGGAAGTGAGCAGGAGGAGGCCTTCTCAGAAGGCGGCGGGGCTTCTCAGAAGCCCTCGGGCCTTCTGAGCAGTTTTCCGTGTCTTCTGGGAAGGCTCAGACAACTTCATAAATCCAGAGGGCTTCCGAGCCTTCTGAGAAGGCCCACCCCCTCTCACTTGCCCCCCGGGCGCGCCGCCGAGTGGAACCATGTCCGTAGCCACCTTTGCCCAGGAGTGCTTATTTTGGCTCTGCGACAGGAGAAAACGTGCACACGCCAGTTACCCTACATCAGTCCGCGCATGGCGCCGGATCGAAAGACCATGGGAGACATGTGGGGGCACGCACACATGGGGGCAGCCCTGCAGGCAAAGAAGCCGCACGTTGTGTGCCAAGTGGTGGATCAGCCAGACTTTGCGAGGACATGTCTGGACCAGTCTACAAGTGGGGAATTTTCACGCCGGTCTCATGCTCAGGAGAAGGCCTCTTTCACGTGTGCTACCATGGCCATTGTGAACATCCCGTACACGTATCCTGAGAGCCGGCTGCGACACGACATTGACTTGCTGGGCGTGCCGTACACGGACTTCCATTATCCAGGTGACCGCAAAAATAAAGGCCGGAACCGGGGGTTTGCCTTCGTCGAGTTCGCTACGTCAGAGGCTGCGCACATGTTCCAACAGTTGTTCCATAATCGTGTGCTCGCTGACCCTGGGAGCCCAGCGAAGAATGTCAGCGTTGTGCCTTCTGAGTCGTCTACCACCAACTTTGGCAAACTGCATTTGGGGAATCATGCCGATTGCCGCAGCGCCGTCTCGGAACCGGATCTCTGGCCGCTGCAGCGGTTGGGTGCACCGCCAGGCATCCTCTATCACAGGTGGCATGCCCCGAAGGAACATAGCGGTGGCATCGTGGATCCTCGGGCCAGTCCACCCCGACTTCCGCTTTATGAAGATGGGACAATGGTGCTAGACAGGTTCTCAGTGTGAGGGGCCGGGAGGATTAAGATGTGGCCCCCGATTTTGCGCAGAGTTGGCCAGACCGCGCATGAGCTGCAGTGTGAAGCTCCAGGGGTAAAGACAGGTTTGCCGATCTCCCCACTGGAGACCTGGCCGATGCACCGAGCGGCGGCGGCTCTCCAACAGCGAGGCAGGCTCGTCCGCAGTTGGGCTCGCCACCAGTGATCTGCACAAGGGCACCTCCAGCGCCGAGGCAAATCTGGCCCGGGCCGGGAGGGCGCGGCCTGCCTGCGCATCGGACGCCTGCTCGTCGTGTGAGTCCTCCGCGCGGGGGCTGCCCGAGCAGCAGGCACGCGCGGTGCAGAGCCGTGCTCGGCCTCTGCTTCGAAGCGCTTGGGTCGAGACGGGTACTCCAGATTTCGTAATAAAGGGAGGGGGGTCTCGTTTCGGGGGGGGTCTCTTCCAGGCTATCTTGGAGGGCCTGGGGGGGTCTGGGGACGATGTTTTGGAGGCTTCTCCCACGGGGGGGCTCTGACATGGCTTGTCTTGGAGGGTCCAGACCCCCTCCCTTTTATTACGAAATCTGGTGTATCCAGCGTGATAGGGGAGGAGGTGATTTATGGTCGGCGTCACCCAGGCATGCTAGCACTATGTGTGCGCCGCCCTCTCAGGGGCGGCGCGCGCGCCGAGAAGTCTTGCAGTGGCAGCGCCGTGGCGGGCGCCTTCTGGCCATGCCGCTCGGGAAGCGATACGCCACAGGATGGTTGCACTGGATGTTCGGCCCGGACGTACGCCTCCAAGGAGGACACATAGTACTAGCATGTCTTTCTGCGTCCCAGCCTCCCCCGGTGCCCACAAGGGGCTCCCAGGAGGACCCCAGACGGCCCCATGGTGGCACCCGAGGGCCTCTCGCAGGAGGCAGGCACCACACCCCCGGTGGGAGGGTGAAAGTCAGACTTCAGCGGGTGGAGAGGAGAGGGCCCCGTCTCGCGCCCACGTCTCACGTCCTGCCTCTCTCCTCCCCCGTCGCCCGTGCCCCGGCCCGATGCGCCCCGAAGTGGGGCTGGGCCTCTCGCCGAAGAGGGCAGGCCACGCTTCCTTGGGGCCCCAGCGCTGGCGAGCGGCCAGCGGAGGGGGTAGATCAGGAGTGGCAGAACACACAAACACTGAACGTAGACTCCCACGAAACGATTGGAAAAAAGGGGAAGTGGAGGCGACGACGAAACTTCAGAAAATACAATGAGATGGGGAATCCCGGGATTTTCCCAAGCAGGTGCTTGCACTTAGGTGCTCTTACTGGCGTTAACCATCTCGGGACCCTCCCCGCAAAGTCGCCGCCGTGCCGCCAGTCGCCGCCTGTCGCCGTCGCCGCCCGACGCCGCCATCCCCGCCCGTCGCCGCCCGTGCCGCCCGTCGCCGCCCGTCGCCGTCGCCGCCCGTCGCCGCCATCCCCGCCCGTCGCCGCCCGTGCCGCCCGTCGCCGCCCGTCGCCGTCGCCGCATCGCATACATTGCACCGCAAATATTGCATTACAGAGGTTGCATCGCATACCTTGCACCACATAGATTGCACCGCGTAGACTGCAGCACATAGGTTGCATCGCATACATTCTTCTTTCTCAAAGAAGAATAAATTCTACCCCCCCGGGTTAACCGTACCCCCTGGGGTATTCTGTTTGTTTGAATTTATTATGCAAAGCCGTCCATCCTAAATGTGAATTTATAATATCCCAGCCAGGCCGGTATCACTCCCCCCCGCCATCCCGTGCAAAAAAGCTATGCGCGCACTCCCGTTTATCAGAAGTCATATTTTTGTCAATAATTCTTTGCAGAAAACGGGACGAAGTGCACACACGCGCGCGTCGTCGCGCGCGCAAGCCGAAATCCAAAGAACCTTCGGTTTCGGAAGGATTCCAGAATCGAGTTTCCAAAAAACATACAGAAACACATGGTTTCGCAACATTGATTTTCTAAAAAAGCTTACGCGCGCGCTCTTGCGAAATATTAAGAAAACCATCGGTTTTTCAAGATTATCATCAAATACTACCAAACGGGCTTCGTGCGCGGGCATGTCGAAATCTTTCGAACGCCCTTGAGCGCGTGCCGTCGCGAGAATCCTATGCAAAAGATGAGACGAAGTGCAGACGCGCGCGTCGTCGCGCGCGCATGCCGAAATCCTTCAAACACCGTCGGCTTCGGAAGGATTTCAATATCGAGTGCCCCAAAAACATACAAAACACAAGGTAAACACGGATTTTCAACAAAAGTTTGCGCGCGCGCTTTTGCGTCGTCGTCGTCGTTGCCGTCCTCCCTCCTCCCTCGTCGTCGTCATCGTCGCCGTCGTCGTCCTCTGTCTTTCCTCGTCGTCGTCGTCGTCTTGGCGTCGCCGTCGTTTCCGTCGTCGTTGTCGCCGTGGTCGTCCTTCCTCCCTCGTCGTCTTCGTTGGCGTTTCGTCGTTGTCCCTCCTATTTCGTCGCCGTCGTCGTCGTCCTCGTCGTCGTCTTCCCTTCTCCCTCGTCGTTGTCGTCGTCGCCGTCGTCGTCCTCCCTCCTCCCTCGTCGTCGTCGTCGTCGTCGTCGTCGTCTTCGTTGGCGATGTCGTCGTCGTCGTCGTCGTCGTCGTCGTCGTCGTCGTCGTCGTCGTCGTCTTCGTCGTCGCCGTCGTCGTCGTCGTCGTCGTCGTCGTCGGCGTCGGCGGCGTTGTCGTCGTCGGCGTTGTCATTGTTGTCGTCGTCAGCAGCGTCGTCGTCGTCGTCGTTGTCGTCGTCGTCGAAGTCGTTGGAGACGTCGTCGGTGTCGTCGTAGTCGTTGTCGGCGGCGTTGTCGTCGTCGTTGTCGTTGTCGTCGTCGGCGTCGGTGTCGCTGCCAAGTGCCATGTGGTACCCACCGTCACGGTTTTAAGAGGTCTTGCGACCAAGTTGCGGGTGGGAGGGTGGGATGTTTGCACGAGCAGTGGAGAGGACAGCTTCAAGCTGAGCAAGTGATTGGATTGCACCACGTAGATTGCACAGCATGGATCGCATTACATCGCTTCCATCGCATACGTTGCACCACACATACATTGAAATACACAGGATGCATCGCATAATTTTCGTTTCTGAAAAAGAGATAGGTTCTACCACCCTTCTCCCCCCCCAGAGTTATCGACTCCCTGGGAACCTATGCAAAACACATATGAATATGACCCAATGTGTATCCTTCCTGTGAATTCATATTCTCAAAGCCAAACTGGTATCGGCCCCCCTCGGTTCCCTTTTAAGAAATAGAATGCGCGCGCACTCGTTTATCCGTAAGGGCTTCGCCCCCATGCCGCCGGCACCCCTCTCTTAGAATGGGACTTGCCAGAGCTGTGTCGGGATGTCTGGACGCTGACGTGAAGCAATGCCGGGACTTCACGCGAGGGCCAATCTTATTTTACAAGGGTTTATGGCCTCGGTGGCGCGAATATTGAAATTTTACTATGGTTTATGGCTTCGGGGACGCGAGCATTGCGTAATTTACCAGGATTCGCGGCCTCGGGGACGCAAAGATGGCGTACGTTACGAGGGTTTATTTTAAACCCTGGCCCCGCCGATTTGCGTGAGGGGTGTCACCGAATTTCAGAAATGTAGCAAATCCTTTGTGTTTTTGGACCCTGACCCCGCCGATCTGCGTGAGGGGTGCCACCGAATTTCATAAATGTGACACATCCCCTGTGTTTGTTGACCCTGACCCCGCCGATCGCCGTCAGGGGTGCCACCGGATTTTAGAAATGTGGAACATCCTTTTTGTGTTTTTGGACCAGATTGGACCCTGACCCCGCCGATTTGTATGAGGGGTGCTAACGAATTTTAGAAATGTGGCGCATCCTTTGTGTTTTTGCACCCTGACCCCGCCGATCTGCGTGAGGGGCGCCACCGAATGTCAGAAATGTGGCGCATCCTTTGTGTTTTTGGACCCTGACCCCGCCGATCTGCGCGAAGGGTGCCACCGAATTTCAGACATGTAGCAAATACTTTGTGATTTTGGACCCTGACCCCGCCGATCTGCGCGAGGGGTGCCACCGAATTTCATAAATGTGACACAGCCCCTGTGTTTTTGGACCCTGATTCCGCCGACCTGCGTGAGTGGTGCCGCCGAATTTCGGAAATATGGCGCATCCTTTGTGTTTTTGGAGACTGACCCCGCCGATCTGCGTGAGTGGTGCCACCGGATTTCAGAAATGTGGCACATCCCATGTGTTTGTTGACCCTGACCCTGCCGATTTGCGTGAGGGGTGCCACCGGATTTTAGAAAAATTTGGCAAGTCCCTTGTTGGTTTTGGACCCTGACCCTGCGGATCTGCGTGAGAGGTGCCAATTTTTACTCCCCCAGAAATTCTGCGAACCCTCCCAGGGCATGGTAATCCTGCTAGTTTGGGCTCCCCCCCCTCGCGCGTTCATCAGCAAGGAACAGTAAGCAGCAAGAAGCAGAACTGTAACAGTGGAAACTAGAAGCTGCAACTGCTACAGGGAGCAGCACACTCCCGGCCTACAGCGTGATGGCCCCGCAAGGGGGCCGGCGAATCAAATCAGAAGTTTTCAAATATTTTGTTGTAAAGAATTTGACGAAGTGCACACGCGCGCGCCGTCGCGCGCATGCCGAAAACCTTACAAATCATGAGGTTTCGGCAGGATGTCAGAATCGAGTGCTTTTATCATTATATGTATATGTATATGTATATGTATATGTATATGTATATGTATATGTATATGTATATGCATATGTATATGTATATGCATATGCATATGTATATGTATATGTATATGTATATGTGTATGTATATGTATACGTATATGCATGTATGCATCTATATAAATATCGATATAAGTATATATCCTTATATATATAGATTCAAAAAAGCACGCAGGATTTCGCAACACTGGTTTTCTACAAAAGCGTGCGCGCGCTCTTGCGAATTCGTAAAAAAGCCATGAGTTTTGCATCATTTCATAACATGCTACCTAAAGGGCTTCGCGCGCGCATGTCGAAATCGTTCGAACGCCCTTGCGCG